ATGTTTTGCTTTGTGGTGCAGTCTCAGTTCCATTAGATATCCAGGGTTGAAGCCAGATATTGTAGGTTTGGATGTCAGGAGAAGGAAATACCCAAAACCAGAGGTCTGGATCAGATCATACCAATTTCATCCTGTTAACCATCAAATAACTCATTGTGGCCATTTTGGCCCATTTTCAATGGAACAGGGGCAGAAACAGATTGTTTTTGCATACAAAAAAATGGAACAGAAGGAGGAGCAGAATATGTGAGTGAGAGAGCATTAAACTAAAAAGGATGAAAGAAAAAGAAAAGAAGGAGCTTGATAGATAATCACCCTTGGGTCTCTACAGAGCTGTGAGGAGAGGGGAGAAGGGGTACTAAGTGGTCTTGTTAAATGTCAAGTGGTTATGTAATAAATTTGTGAAACCTTTCATTGGTGAAGATGTCAATGTGGTTCAATTTTGAAAAATGAAAAGACCCTTCTCTGGCCTTTAATTAAGCTATGGGTGGGAGAGGTGATGGTACAAACGCTATTAATATTTTCATTTTTTCAAGTCCAAGTTACTGTTTTTTTTTTTTTTCTTTTGTTTTTTCATCAATTTCCTCTACTTTTTTTTTGTTTTTCATTAACTTTTTTTCCCCTCCTTTTTTTCTTTATTTTTTTGTCTTTTGTCATTGTGCCTTGGTGCCTGCTTTTTTGTTGGTATTTTGGCCTTGACAAGAGGCATTGTTGGTGGCTGTTTCGAGCTACAGGGGCTAGTCATTTTGGACATGAGGGGCCATCAGCACATGAACAGCGTTCTAGTGGGACTCGCAGTGTTGGATGATCCGTGTCGCAACTTCTGTCAGGCTAAGTGATGCCAAGAGCAGAACTCTTCTAGCTACACTAGCTGCAAGAGTAAGAATGGGATGTGTACACGTGTGGGTGACACGTGAAAAGTGGGGGAATTGTGTGTAAAATAAAAGAAAATAGTAAATAAAAAACTATTAAGTTTTTTATTTACAGAGGGGCCTGAGTTGCAGGGGTTTTTTACTGTGCCCTCTAATTCAGGTCCTGAGTTGCAGGGGTGGTACTGAAGTTCTGTTCCTTTGTAATAAAGGAGTAAACCCAGAAAAAAGTCTACTACTGAAGAAAACAAAGAGATAATACTTACTGGTACTTATCTCTAATCCAAGGAGGTCTTCAGGAGGGGGGAACTGTTCTTGAGGCGCTCAGAAAGGTGGGTGAGAGATGTTGAGAGTGCTGGGGAACAGGTGTTGGGTTGAAAGGTTGAAGTTCAGGTTACAAACAGCAGGAACAGGGCCAAAAGGCAGGTTGATACTGGGTGTTGGTGACGGTTTATGCTGGTAAGTAATGATGAAGATGGGGAAACAAGGTTCAGGGGGAAGAAGGGGCTCTTAAGTACCCATTCTGGGCCTCTGGAGGCGAACTCAGGAGTCTCTCTAGTTGCTACAACTCTCCTACTAAGCCTATGGGAGCTTTTGATCATCTGTAGCACCTGTAGAGCTTGGTTACAGGTGCCAAGGAGATGATGCAATGCTTGTAACCATGTTTGCAGGGTGTTCTGACGAAACTGTAACACTCCTGCAGCCTATGTAAGCACTGCATGATGCATGGGTTGATCCTCAAGAGAGTAATTGTCCCAATTGGGCCAAAAAGGGCCACAGATCATCCCAAACAATTTAATACTGTAGTCTGTGCTCATGTAGTTAAGGTTTCAATGATGTAAACCTTGTTTGTAGATTTTTCCTGAACTGTATGAACCTTAATTACACATGTAGCCCCCTTACAACATGTAGTATGATGTAACTTGAGGGGTCTACAGTGTATTTTGGTCCAATATCACTCAAGGACTACAAAGTAAGTAAAGGAGTAATATTTCAGGGGTACACTTGGTGAGCTACCCTAGGTTATTTTTCATGTAGATTCAGAATCTGCAATAATATTGTGAGTTATACTTAAGGTTCAGAAGTTATTAGGAGATTCTGGTTAAAAATGTTATTTTTCCTTATTTATTTAATTATTTAAATGTTTTCTCGTGGAATATTACAATTTAAGTGTACAGTGTAATAATGTCTCTATTATGGTGCTTCCACTTATTTAAATAGTATATTTTTAGTATTTTAATAGTATGTACATATATAAGTAATAATGTCTCTAATTTATATGTAAATGCTTTGTTCAGGCTGGCTCTGATTAGTAGCAGGCTGA